AACCTTGCCTGTGGGGTCTGTTTTGTCCGCCATGCTGTTTACCACATACATGAAATCTCAGGAAAAGGTCATCCAGAGTTTTGGGATATGGTGCCATCTATGTGTAGATGATACCCAGCTCTACTACTCCTTTCTACCCCAGCCAAAGAGGCTGCCCTGGTCCTAAATCAGTATCAGACACATCTAAACATGTTTTCTGACTTCATTGTTGCTTGAGACAGAAAATATGGCCAGGTTGATACCTTCCTCAGTTACATTCTGTTTGGATGACTGTAATGTGCTGGATTTGGGGCTATCTTTGGAGAACTTCAACTCATCCACAGAGCTGCAGCCAGGTTGCCAACAGGGTGGCTACCAGGAACGCACGGCTCCCCTGTTGTAGCAGCTCCACTGGCTGCCGGTTTGTTTCAACAATCCAAAGCTCTGGATATAATCTATAAAACCCTATATGTCTCAGGTCCAGGCTCTTTAACACATGGGATCTCCTGATTATCTCAGTGCCTCTCAGTATGAACCTGTACAGACTCAGAGATCCCCAATGGAGGCCCTTTTCTTGGGCTCCTTCTACACTGAAATATAAAATCCAGGTTATCTACTTTGACCTGAATTATAAGGCAGTGTAGACTCATATAATCCAATTCAAATCATATAATGTGGATTATCAGATTTGATAATCTGGATTATACAGCAGTATAGAAGGGGCCTTAGACCCCTTCCACACAGCTGAATAAAATCCCATATTATCTGCTTTGAACTGTTATATATAGCAGTGTGGACTCAGATAACCCAGTTCAAAGCAGATATTGTGGGATTTTCTGCCTTGATATTCTGGGTTATATGGCTATGTGGAAGGGCCCTTAGTCTTACCTCTATTGCAACATTGGTTGGTGGGAACTGGACAGAGGAAGACTTTTCTTCTTAGTAGCTCTGGAATGCAGTTCTTCCCAGGGATATATATCTGTGGACTGTCCATAGTGGGGAAAGAACCCTGTCTGATTGAAGCAAGTGTAAATTTCGCAATTGGCAAGCTCGCTCAGCATTGAGCAGCCTTGCAGTTTCCCTGTACGGTCAGTGTTTCCCTTGATATATGGTAAGAATACTTTCCTCTAGGTAAATCTTTGTCCTTACTCTCATGGCTTGTTCTTAGTCTTTCAGCTCTTTGGATGTCTGTGGTAGAGTACCCATTGGCCTGCAGAGCTCAGTTCACCTAAACCACCTAGGTCAAAAAGAAACACAATTAAAGCCCTAGTAGACCGTGCAAATAGGATCTGCAAACCCCACGATGAAATGAACCATCTCAACTGGATTCTACAGACCAATGGGTATTCTTTGATAGACATCAGAGGAGCTGCAAGACCAAGAACAAGCCTCAAGAGTAAAGACAAAGATCCTCCTAGTGGAAAAGTGTTCTTACCATATATCAGGCTTCTAATGGGGACTGATCTCAGGGACCATACTACACTGTTACTGAGACAGTTCGACTGGCTGCCCATACGTTTCCGAGCCCAATTCAAGGTGCTGGTTCTTACCTATGAAGCTCCAGTCCAAGTTATCTGGAACACCGTGTCCTCATATACATACTGGGTCAAGCGCTGAGGTCCTGCGCAGAGACCCTTAGCTCCACACGGCCCCCTCAAACATGTGCTGAAGTAGGACCAGGGAAGGCTCCTTCTCAGAACAGGCACCGGCACTTTGGGACTACCTTCCAGAAGAACTAAGATCTGCTTATCCCTGTTGAGTTTCCAGAAGGGAGAGAAGACCTTCTTATTTAAGAAAGCTTTTAACTAAAGATTTATGCTTCAGGGCCAGATTGAGTTTAATTGCTTGGATAGCATAGGGGTTTATATGGGGGTTTATATGAAGGTTTGATTTTAACCATGTTTTAACTTTTGTACTGTATATTTTATTTTGTTGTAAGCTGCTTTGGGTCCGCTTTTAGAGAAAGGCGGGGTAAAAATATCATAAATAAATAAACCACTGACCGCATTGGGAAGCTCATGAAGAAACACAACCTACAACAATCTACAGACCCACTAAGAGAATTCAACGGATGCTACATTCAGCAAAGAACAAGAGGGGTCTACCATATACCATGTAACTGTGAGTAAGTATACATAAAACTGATTCCAATACCAACTTGATTTTTAATTGGTTATTAAAAGGAGCAAGTTTTTTGCCTCTTATGTATAATATATTTTATTCCAGCTCAAAATTTTATACCTTGTGATGTTTTTATGTTTGATTTAATATTTTTATAGTTGTTTTTTGTTTTTGTATTATGATTTGTTGTTCTGTGTTATTTTGGTTGTTATTATTACTATGTATATTGTATTTTTGTTGTAAGCCTCCCCGAGTCTCTTTTGGGAGAGAGGGCAGGATATAAATAAAGTTTAAGATTTATTATTACATAGGGACTACCAAATGCAGTGCCCAGACACAAATCAAAGAGCACTAAAGGCACTGCAGACTAATCCAACCAGAGAAATCAGCTATAGCAGAGCACCTGATGAACCAACCTGGACACAGCATATTATTTGAGAACACAGAAATGCTGGACCACTCTGACAACTGTCATGTCAGATTACATGGGAAGGCCTTTCCCGACAACCTATAATAGGCAAGAATCAGGCAGCTATTGTTAAGACACATCATTAAATAATATCTCAGACTTGGCAATGTTTACACGGCCTAAAGAACATTAGGACAATGTTTTTATGGATAACCTCAGTAGTCTGAGGCCCAAGGAATTTTAATGGTATAGTACAGGTAAAGGTTTCCACTTGCCGTTAAGTCTTGTTGTGTCCGACTCTGGGGGTGGTGCTCGTCTCCATTTCTAAACCAAAGAGCTGCCGTTGTTCATAGACACCTCCAAGGTCATGTGGCCAGCATGACTGCATGGTGCACCGTTACCTTCCTGCAGAAGTGGTACCTATTAATCTACTCACAGTTGCATGTTTTCAAACTGCTAGGCTGGCAGAAGCTGGGGCTAACAGCGAGAGCTCACCCTGCTCCCCAAATTCAAGCCACCGACCTTTTGGTCAGCAAGTTCAACAGCTCAGCAGTTTAACCTGCTTTACCGGGGGGGGGGGGTCCATTTTAATGGTATATGTTGTATTTATTAAGCTTTCTGTATATGGGTTATGTAATGTGTTATTTGTTTTTCTGTTTTCTTTGAGGTTATAAAGTTGTGTTTTTGTGTCATGCAATTTCTGTTGTTTTAACCACTGTTCGCTGCTTTGAATCCTATTCATGCGAGAAAAGTGGGATAAAACTGAATAAATAATAATTTCAACAGAAAGGAGGAAACTATGAAAATGAACAAAACCGGGTTACCTGTATAAAAAAGACCACCAGAATCAAAACAATAAATAATGAACACCACTCAGAAACAGGAGAACTCCAGAATTCCAGACAGCAAGCAATCAAGTGCCAGCTAACACCTCCAAAACAAAGGATGCCCCCAGGCAACAACAGCCAGGCTAGGTAAAGGTAAAAATTTTCCCCTGACATTAAGTCCAGTCGTGTCCAACTCTGGGGAGTGGTGCTCATCTCCATTTCTAAGCCGAAGAGCCGGCGTTGTCTGTAGACACCTCCAAGGTCATGTGGCCGGTATGGCTGCATGGAGCGCCGTTACCTTCCTGGAGGTAACCTATGGATTTATTCACAGTTGCATGTTTTCAAACAGCTAGGTTGGCAGAAGCTGGGGCTGACAGTAAAAGTTCACGCTGCTCCCCGGATTCGAACCTGTGACCTTTTTTGGTTAACAAGCTCGACAGCTCAGTGGTTTAGCCCACTGCGCCAGTTAACACCACCCAAACAAAGGATGCCCTCAGGCAACAACAGCCAGGCTACCTCTATGCAAATACCCTCACTGATTGACTTTGCTGCTACAAGGCTACTCAATACTAATCAAGCTTGCCAACTGCAGCATTCACACTTGCTTCAAACAGTCAGGTTTTAATGTATTGTTGAAGGCTTTCTTGGCCGGAATCACTGGGTTGTTGTAGGTTTTTTTGGGCTATATGGCCATGTTCTAGAGGCGTTCTCTCCTGATGTTTCACCTGCATCTATGGCAAGCATCCTCAGAGGTTGTGAGGTCTGTTGGAACTAGGAAAAAGGGTTTATATATCTGTGGAATGACCAGGGTGGGACAAAGGACTCTTGTCTGCTGGAGCTAGGTGTGAATGTCTCAACTGACCACCTTGATTAGCATTTGATGGCCTGGCAGTGCCTGGGGCAATCTTTTGTTGAGAGGTGATTAGATGTCCTTGTTTGTTTTCTCTGTTGTTGTGCTGTTGTAATTTTAGAGTTTTTTAATACTGGTAGCCAGATTTTGTTCCATGGTTTCCTCCTTTTTTTGAAATTGTCCACATGCTTGTAGATTTCAATGGCAAAAGATTGCCCAGGCACTGCCAGGCCATCAAATGCTAATCAAGGTGGTCAGTTGAAACATTCACACCTAGCTCCAACAGACAAGAGTCCTTTGTCCCACCCTGGTCATTCCAGATATATAAACCCTTTTTCCTAGTTCCAACAGACCTCACTACCTCTGAGGATGCTATCCATAGATGCAGGCGAAATGTCAGGAGAAAATGCCTCTAGAACATGGCCATATAGCCCGAAAAAACCTACAACAACCCAGATAAGTTTTCCCCCCACCCTGGACATTCCATATATATATATATATATATATATATATATATATATATATATACATACACATCCCACTTGCCTCACTAGCAACAGAAGATGCTTGCCAGAGATGTAGGATAAATGTCAGAAGAGAATGCAGGAAGACAGCCATACTGCCCGGGAAACTCACAGCAACCCAGTGAATAGGATAGTCATAACTATGCGGCTGTTGCTCTGAGGCCCACTATGGATGGGGCATTGTTTTGGGCGAACACAAAAGGCAGGGGCCTTTCTTCGTGAGGTAAACAAAAGCCTGAGGGGGCTCGGCTTCCCTGGAAGAGCAAGCGCCGCCTTGCCAGCAGACTCACCGCGGGACGCAGCTGGGGTTGGAGCCGTCCATCTCCCAGGCCGCGAAGAGGTTCATGGGCACGGGGCTGGCGGAGGGGCCCGGCCCGCCGGAGGAGACCGCCATCCCTGCAGCCGGCAGGAGAAGCAGCAGCACAGGCAACTCACTCCCTCTCTGTCTGTGTCTCTTCTGGCCCGCCTCCTGCACTAAGCCCCGCCCCCTAGCCTATGAGGCCCCGGAACCAAAGTCTCGCGACGGGATACCCGCCGGAGGCTCTTTGCGACAGACCGGAAGTGGCGGCCGAAGCTTCCGGCCAGCTCACTCTCGTCGTTTGTGCCGAGGGGGGCGGGGTGCAGAGCGGTGTGTGTCAGGGCTTTCGGGGCAAGATGGTGCTCCTCACGATGATCGCGAGAGTCGCCGACGGGCTGCCCTTGGCGGCCTCCATGCAGGAGGACGAGCAGGTGAGCGGGGACAGAGACAGGGCAGGCTTCCTGGGAGGGCTGGGCCTGAAGGGTCTGCCCAGGTGCCTAGGGCTTCGTCACCGCTTTTGACATTGTACCCCACCCTCTTCCCTGGACAGCAGGCCCTGCTGTAACACTTAACGTTTTAAACCCGTGCTACGGGAGAGCAGACCCCCCACCACATTATCAGCTTTGAACTGGATTCTATGGCAGTGTGGACTCAGGCCCCCTCCACAAAGCTGTATAAAATCCACATTGAACTGGATTATATGCCAGTGTGGACTCAGGCCCCTTCCACACAGCTATATAAAATCCCACATTATTAGCTTTGAACCTAATTATATGGCAGTGTGGACTCAGGACCCTTCCATACAGCTGTATAAAATCCACATTGACCTGGATTTATTGGCAGTGAGGACTCATATACCCCAGGGCCCTTCAATGCAGCCATATAACCTTGAATATCAAGGCAGAAAATCCACAATATCTGCTTTGAACTAGGTTATCTGAAGCCCCTTCCACACATTGCATAAAATCCCAAATTATCTGATTTGAACTGGATTATATGGCAGTGTGGACTTAGGTCCCTTCCACACAGCTGTATAAAATCCACATTGAACTGGATTATATGGTAGTGTGGACTCAGGCCCCCTCCACAAAGCTGTATAAAATCCACATTGAACTGGATTATATGGTAGTGTGGACTCAGGCCCCTTCCACACAGCTGTATAAAATCCACATTGAACTGGATTATATGGCAGTATGGATTTAGGACTCTTCCACACAGCTGTATAAAATCCACATTGACCTGGATTATATGGCAGTGTGGATTTAGAACCCTTCCACACAGCTGTATAAAATCCCACATTATGTGCTTTGAACTGGATGATATTGCAGTGTGGCCTCAGGCCCCCTCCACTGTATAAAATCTACATTGAACTGGATTCTATGGCAGTGTTGACTCAGGTCCCTTCCACACAGCTGTATAAAATCTCACATTATGTGCTTTGAACTTGATTATATGGCAGTGTGGATTTAGGTCCCTTCCACACAGCTGTATAAAATCCACATTGAACTGGATTATATGGCAGTGTGGACTCAGGCCCCTTCCACACAGCTGTATAAAATCCAAATTGGACTGGATTATATGGCAGTGTGGACTTAGGACTCTTCCACACAGTCATATAACACAGAATATTAAGGAAGAAAATCACACAATATCTGCTTTGAACCGAGTTATTTGAGTCCACAGTGCCATATATTCCAGTTCAAAGCAAAAAAAAAAGTGAGATTTTATTCAGCTGCGTGGATGGGGCCTCAGATAACCCAGTTCAAAGCAGATATTGTGAATTATTTGCCTTGATATTCTGGGTTATATGGCTGTGTGGAAGGGCCCTGCGACTCCACCATTGTATCCCACCCTCGTCCCTGTATAGGAGGCTCGTTCTGTAGCACTAAACGTTTTAAACTTGTGCCATGAGACAGCAGACACCCCCCCCCCACCTCCTGAAAAGAGAAACAAATGCCAATAAAGGATAACCTGTCTTGTGGGAACACCCCTTTTTCTTATATAAATTATGGTGGTTCGCATCCTTGGAAGAACCATCTCATGGCACATTAGAGCTACTTGTTTCCCGTATGTTCTGTTACTACCAGGTCCCTTCCACGCAGTCATATAACCTAGAATATTAAGGAAGAAAATCCCACAATATCTGCTTTGAACTGAGTTATCTGAGTCCACAGTGCCATATATTCCAGCTCAAAGCAAAAAATGTGAGATTTTATTCAGCTGTGTGGAAGGGGCCTCAGATAACCCAGTTCAAAGCAGATATTGTGAATTATTTGCCTTGATATTCTGGGTTATATGGCTGTGTGGAAGAGCCCTGCGACTTCCCCATTGTATCCCGCCCTCGTCCCTGTATAGCAGTGGTTCTCAACCTGTGGGTCCCCAGGTGTTGTGGCCTACAACTCTCAGGAATCCCTGTCAGTTTACTATCTGTTAGGGCCAAACATCTGGGGACCCACAGGTTGAGAACCACTGCTGTATATGAGGCCTGTTCTGTAGCACTTAACGTTTTAAACTCGTGCCATGAGACAGCAGATCCCTCACCTGAAAAGAGAAACAAATGCCAATAAAGGCTAACCTGTCTTGTGGGAACACCCCTTTTTCTTATATAAATCATGGTGGCTCGTCTCCTTGGAAGAACTATCTCGTGGCACATTAGAGCGGCTTGTTTCCCATATGTTATATTACTACCAGGGCGCTTCCACACAGCCATATAACTCAGAATATCAAGGCAGATAATCCACAAATAATTGTGGGATTTTCTGCCTTCATATTCGGGGTTATATGGCTGTGTGGAAGGGCCCTCCGTCCACACTGCCATATAATCCAGTTCAATGTGGATTTTATACAGCTGGGTGGAAGGGGCCTTGGAACTTTCCAAACTTTTCATGTTGGAGACATGCTTTTTCAACATGCATCCTTTCACAACAGGGCAATTCGGTTTTATCAAACTGGAGGAAAACAAACCCTTTGTATGATTTTCATATAATTCACACAGACATACATATAGGATAAGACATTATGTAGTGTAGAAGTATGTATGTATGAGTTTGATATTATAACTACTGTATAAACAAGGTTTAGAAATATTTCCTTTCCACTTACCAAGTACTACAATTGATTATTGTGTAGTTTTATCTATAGCTACTCCATTGGGTTCATCACAAACACCATTGTCAAGAGATTTCTTAATTAGAAACTTACACATTTTAGTGGTAATTGCTGCAACTCAATCAATGAATTGTGCAAATTGTAAAAGTTTTAACAGTACCTGCACTTGAACAGCACTAGCACTCCACTTTGCAGGGATTAAACCTCTCTGGTGGTTTTTAATGTAGACTGGATGGCTATCCAGGGCTGAAAGGGGTTGGACTAGATGCTCTTTGGGAGTCTATTCTAACTGTAGTGAAGTATAGGTTGCCTGGGAATCCGGTGGCATCTCCTTCTCTGGAGGTTTTTGAACTGAGGCTCGATGACCATCTGTTAGGAGAGCATTGTGTCTTCCTGCCTGGCTGAAGGGGGTTGGACTAGATGCCCTTTGGGAGTCACATCTAACTGTGCTGAAGTATAAACTGCCTGGGAGTCTAGTGCAGTTTCCTCTGGAGGTTTTTAAACTGAGGCTGGATGGCCATCTGTTAGGAGAGCTTTGTGTCTTCCTGTCTGACTGAAGGGGGTTGGACTAGATGCCCTTTGGGGTCCCTTTCTTCTCATTCTCATCAGCACTGCGTTTGTGGTTGGGGTGGGGAGCATTTTTCAGGTGACACAACTGTGGACTACAAGAAAAACACTCGTTCCAACACACAATTTGGGAAGCTCTGTGCTATATATGAAAAGAGAAAGTGAAGGGGAATCAGGAAGCAGAGAGCTTATTAGTTCCCCTTCATTTCTTAAATTATTGGTGGATTCATATCTGGAATTTATTGGGCTTTGTCAGAGCCTTGTCTTAAAGATTTCTGTTCTTAGTCTGGCCGAGACCTGCAGCAGTACCAGAGCCAAGCGAAACAGCTGTTCCGGAAGCTCAATGAACAGTCTCCAACCAGGTGTACCTTAGAAGCGGGAGCCATGACTTTCCAGTAAGTGCAACATGAGCTGCAACTCAGAGGTCCTGGGAAGGAATAGTAGGATATATGCTTTAGAAAGAAACACCTTTGGTCAGTTTGAGGAATAGGCATAGTGTATCTATGCATTCAGTTCTTTGTTTAAAAATTCTTATGTTATGCCTATATCATAACTATTTTCTTTTTTCTGTCATTGAGCAAATGTTCCATTTTTCATCTGAAATGCGTCAAGATTGTTTCATATAGTCACTTTCCCTGTAATCTGTCATTAGACCTTGACCAGAAATTTCCAATGCAAAATTGATTGTTGTTCTTCTCATTTATGTTTGAACACCCCACAACAACAGGGTGAATTTAGGGGACTTTCAAACATCTCAATAAAAATATAAAGTAATGACACTGCTGGAATTTTACACTGGATTTATATGTCTATATATGCAAGTTCAGGGAAATGTATTTTTGGAAATATAGGCAGTTTATATAAGTCTATATGTTCTTGTCCGTGCCCTATGCATGAACTACTGTAACCTTTTCTTCCCCCTCCCTCCTTTATTTTTTAATAATTACTCTTTCTTCAAAGAAACTATCGAACAAACAAAACACATATACAAAAGAGCAAATTTCATAAAACAAAAGGGCCAGATCCCCCTCGCAAAAAAAAAAAAACCCAAACATTTTATTAATATAAAACTCAAACCTAAAACAACTAACAAACTCAATCTAACAATCTATCTTTCTTTCTAACCACTACCACTTCACACAACCCTCCAAAACACATCCTACACATAGGATAAAAAATAATTTATGAGTCTCACACTGTCTGCCTTTTGATTTTAATTTCTCAATTTACTATTCCCATGAAGTATTGTTCATAATACTATAAATGGTATAGATTTCAGACTATTGAAAAGAGGAGAAATTATATGTGTTTTAAAAGCCAGGGAAAGTGTATCTGGAATTAGAATTGTCATTTAAAGATACAAATTTATTTCTTGCCTGGCTAACATATGGTACATTGTTTTTTTTTTTCCTTTTGCAGTTACATTATTGAGAAAGGAGTATGTTATCTGGTATTGTGTGAAGCTGCCTTCCCCAAAAAGCTAGCGTTTGCGTATCTGGAAGACTTACACTCAGAATTTGATGAACAGCATGGAAAGAAAGTGCCAACGGTGTCCAGGCCTTATTCTTTCATTGAGTTTGGTGAGGGTTTTGTCTTTGAGACTAGCTAATAAGGATTTTCCTTAGAGATCCACCTGGTAGTCTTCATAGTTCCTTTGTTTGGGCCATGTGTCACTTGAGTATTATATTTGGGATTGTGCCTGATCTGTTACTGCACCTTAGCCATTAAGTACACTGAACTTCATGAAATTGTGCAATATTATATCTGGACTTTGTTTTAAATAAAGAATAATTAGATTTATGTCAAAAGAAATGCTGCCATTTATTAACTATTGTATATGTCATTGCATACCATAGTGCTTTGAGTCATCAGATGAAAGGTCAGATTTCAAACTGTGTAGATCCTTGATAACATGAATTCAATTTGTCATCATTTCTTAATTTCATTTTCTTTTTTCCATGTATTTTATTGCAGATATGAGGAATGGGGAAAGATACAAAACTGGTTATAGAATGAGGCATTTTTAGCATCTTACATTTTCATCTTTTTCCATTGCTGTCTTAATACTAAAAAAGTTTCTATGTTGTTAAAAAAGAAAAGAGACAAATAAAATAAAAACATTTATTTTCTAATCTAAAACAGAAGGTTAGAAAAGTAGGTATACAGTATTTTGAATCAAGGGAGATAGAAACATTAAGAAATAAAAAATAGAAAGTCCTAATTAACGCTCTCTCTGCTGTCTTCTTTGAAATTAAAAAAAATCTATTATTTTTGTCATTAAAAAAAACTTATCTCTGGTAGATTTATTTTCCAGGATCTCTTGGCTATCATTGGGGATTCTGTTATTCTTGTCCCTTTTCTTGTTATTCCTACATCCCTGTATTATTACTTTTTCCTCTGCACAGAGAACTGCCATTTTAAATATTATTGGTTATAACTCAGACATGATTTTCCATTGTGTGTTGCTTGGCTTTACAGCGAGTGCTATAGATGTGATCAGGTGCATGGTGAATGTTTAAATGTTTACTACTGAACATCTTCTTAACTATGACTGGGAAACTGTGGTGACTAGTTCTCAAAGATTTTCCCATTTTCTTCTAAAGCATCTTGTTACCATATTTCTCACCATTTCTTCAATAGCTTCACAAACTACTGGATCTTTAACTTCTGTTTGCTAAACACCAAGCACATTGGTTTTAAAGCAAATTTATTCTATCATCTTGGATGCTATAATACTATTAATGAAACTCCTATTCATTTAAACTTAAATATACTTAATTTTTTTAGTTGGTGCATCAGATTTTCGGCTCATATTCAGTTATTTTTTTAGCTGGATCATCACATTGTTGGCTCATATTCAGCTAGATTCCTTTCACATATACTGTTTTCAAGCTAGGTGTCACCCATCCTATATCTCTGCATTTCATTTTTTTCTGCCTAAGTGTAGCACCTTACATATCTCCCTGTTGGAATTTTATTTTGTTAGTTTTGACCCAACTCTCTAATCTGTTACGGTCATTTTGGATTCTATTCCTGTCCTCTGGAATCATTAGCTCCCCTCCTAATTTGGTGTCATGTGCAGATTTGATAAACTTGTTCTCTAGTCCATCATCCAAGTCATTGATGAAGATATTGAATAGCACTGGGCTCAGGACAGAACCTTGTGGCACCCCACTCGTCACTTCTTTCTATGGTGAAAAGGAGCCATAAGAATTAGTCAGTAAACCAATACACATCTACCTAACAATAACATGTCTACACCACATTGCATTAGCAAGAAAATCATGAGGGAACTTGTTACGTCTTTGCTGCAGTCAAGATATGTTACATCCTTTCATCTAACAAACTTGTGCCTCTGTCCAAAAATATGAGTTTGCAATGACTTCAGCTATAGGACCTGATTTGTGGGTTTAGTCCTCTTTCATGACTTTGGTGGAATTGCAGTGGCACACAATAGAATTTAGCCTTACTACCAGTTCTCTGAAGGTAGTTTTTTGGGGTTTTTTGTGGTCAGTATGGAAAAGTATGGCTGATAAAGGACCAGGTGTAACAAGATGAATGGAGCACTGTAGATATATCATGGATATAAATTAAGTTTGAGACTTGAAGGATTTTTAACAGGCAGCTATCTCTTTCCCCAGATACTTACATCCAGAAAACCAAGAAACTCTATATTGATAGTCGTGCAAGAAGGAACCTTGGCTCCATCAACACAGAGTTGCAGGATGTACAGAGAATCATGGTAGCAAACATTGAAGAAGTTTTACAACGAGGTGAAGCACTTTCAGGTACAGAAAACCACTCCAATTTTAAAGTGGTAGACAGTCAAATGGGTATGTCTTTTTACCCAGAAGATAAGGTGGAAATTACCATAAACTGTTCTTTTTAATGCTACACAGTTTCCTTGTAATGAAACTAGCTTTTTCTATGCACCTTTCCACATATTAAAGCCCTTTTCAATTTTCCTGCCATTGAAAGGCAATGAAATCAATTCTGAATCCTCAATTGTACAATTTCTACCTCCTCTCATATAATTTTTGACAATATGTGAAGACCTTTTTCTCTTGGTCAGCTTAAATGGAACGTAACAGTTTGTGTTATTACTTATTATTTCACTTTATTATAACTCCCAACACAATTTACAAAAAAAGTTAGAAGAATACAATGAAATAAATTCCTGAAATGTTCAAACAAATAAAAATGTAAATATAACTAGATTTGATGCATTTAGTTCCTATATAACTGTGATTTTGTCACTTTTCGCCACTCACTTGATCATCCTCCAAGGAGGAAAAGGAACAGGATCTATACAAAGTATTGCTTTGTTTTTATGGCTTTGTTTTTGAGTTCATTTATTGTTGTATTGTTGTTTTACTGATGTATTTGGGCTCGGCCTCTTGTAAGCCGCAACGAGTCCTTCGGGAGATGGTGGCGGGGTATAAATAAAGGTTTATTATTGTTATTATTATTACACAGAAGGGCAGCTAACCTCTGGCTAATCTGAAAAATCATGAATCTACTAATGGTTTCAAGTAGTCAGAACAGCGAGAAACAAGTGCTGGCAAAACTAAAGGTAGCAGCTATTGTTGCTCCTTTTTCATCCCATTTCCTTAAATTTTCTAATGGAGAAGTAAAGTGGAGTCACCTCAATGAAATATCCAGGGTGTTTCAAAAAAATGGACCTGATTTGAAATCGCTATATTTCTGCAACCAGGAACTGCTCATGAATGAAGCCTTTATCACTTGAAAGGGAGGGCCAAAGAGTTTCAAATTATTTATTTATCGTGTCAGGAGCAAACCAAACAGTTTTATTGCATTTTTTAACAAACAAACAAACAAAACACAAAGTTTGCAAGCTTGGTAGTTGATGATTGTTGCGAGATGCCTCTCTAAGTGCACAAACTGCCTCTAGCCCAGGCCTGGGCAAACTTTGGTCCTCCAGGTATTTGGACTTCAAATCCCACCATTCCTAGCAGCCTACCGGCTGTGTACTGCCCTTGCGCACTCTAGCCTCAGTCATTCACAAGAGAAAAGCCCTGCAACAGGGTTTTTTTTTAGATTTGTTTCTGGCTTAGTAGAGCTTGATAACTCATCAATCTGGATTTTTGTGTATAATTGTAACATGTTGCCATTATGAAATATGAAATTTCCTGTGCCTCATGCTGTGGGCAAAGGCACAACATAAGCTTTGGCAAGCATATCTAAAAGCTTTTCCTCTGCTGTGGGGTAAGTTAAACACAAGATAAGTCTTCAGGCAGAAGCCAGCAAGCTTTTAAAGAACTCACAATAGTCCTTTATTGTCGTTGCATCACAAAAAGATCCAGTGGACTACCATCAAACTATTATATACCACAATTGAAATGTTGCCAGAAGGGTAGGCTTCTCTGGACCGTTAATAATTCCATTAGTAATAATTTCTGATTTCACTGTCTTCCAAAGTACAGTAATATGTGTTCAAGTGAGTTCACTGACTTAGAACTTTTACCCCCTCACCCTAAAAGTGTTCCACAAAGCTGTGGGAAAATTTGTGCAAACGGGTTTGCTCTGAAAAAAAAGTGAGTTTATGTAAGAAAAGCTTTGCAGAGTTTTCAGATAACTTTGAAGTGAAGGCGAATATGGAAAACTTCTCATCTGTGAACTCATTTTATTGTAAGGTCCACGTGTCCTGTTCAGAGTGGATCCTATGGAGGTGGGTGGTTGGTGAGAGCCGGAGGAGATGTTACATTAACATATTCTGGGAGTTAAGGCAGTTCTCTAACCTACAGCAGAATTTTGGATTATAATAAACAATACCCAACTGGGTGCTAGGACATTGACTACCAGCATCCTGTAAGCCAGAGGAGGAGAAAATGCAGCCTCTGAGCTGCATGAAGCTTCCATTTCCATTTGTATGGCCACAGCAAGCTATTTTTTTTTTTACTATGAGAACCTTAGGGGTCATTGGAAGACCAAACAAATGTAGGTTTTTTTAATGGAGGGGTAAGGCAGGGAGGTGCAGCCCTGCCAGATTCCATAAGGGACCAGTTTGACCCTCAAATCACCAACAGTTGCTAACTCTCTTTGTAAACCTTTCAGCAAGAAAAACAAGTTTTGCGGTTGGGTCATATATTTAATGTGATCTGAACATATTATGAATGTAATACAAATATAAATTCCGATTTACCTTCCTATCTTTTATTTAATAATTTTAATGTTTTGGTGTTTTTTTTTACTCTATTTAAACAGCATTGGATTCCAAAGCGAACAACCTTTCCAGTTTGTCCAAGAAGTACCGCCAGGATGCAAAGTATCTGAACATGCGTTCCACCTATGCCAAGCTTGCTGCTGTTGCTGTGTTTTTTATCATGCTGATTGTCTATGTTCGGTTCTGGTGGCTGTGAGTGGCTTCCAAGAACCAAAGATGGTCAACTAGTTAATAAGCAGGCATAGAGTTGTACGATGCCAAGATTACAGGGATGTACATTAGACCCTCCCCCCATAGGGATATGTGTATGAGAATTGCTGCTAATCTCAGTGAATCTTAACTGCCAAATGTCAGACCTTATTAGCAACGAAGGACTTCCCTTTCCAAGTGTTGCACACTTCAAAGACATGACATTTGTCCGTCCCACCAGCAGCACTGATGTTGTGGTCTGCACTGGCTGTTCACCCAGTTTACTGCTGCCCAGCACTGCCGGTAGTAGACATCCTGTCCCTGTAAATAAGCCCAGCCCTGTTTAGTAAAGGGACTCTAATGAACATTCCTTGTACTAGTGACCTTTTCTTAACGACAAGTCTGGGTCTCGCTACTTGAAATCCCAGTTTAAAGGCTGACACTTTATGATACACATGAGGGTGGGGGTTTTAGTTTGTCAGGTTGGTGCCGATTTTATATGGTGAGACATCTTGATTATTTACACCTTCAGATGTGTTGGTGTGCAATGGCTAGCAAGGCAATGGTTGTGCTTCATGGATGTAGTCCAGCGCATATAGAGAGAGGGTGCTAGGATAATGAAAGCTGCATTATACCATTAATTTTGTAAGTTAGATACTTCGCTTCAGATCTCATTCAATGCCAAGTGAAATGTTGAAATACTTGTCATAGAATTAAATTACCAGTACATAATTCAATTGCATTTTGGAAAAATCTATGTTTTTAAAACCTCTGTTGGGTGTAACACCAAACTCATTGAAGATTACCTCTAAGCAGGCATGGGGAAACTTCAGCCCTCCAGGTGTTTTGGACTTTAACTGTGGGAAGGGCCAAGGTTTCCCCATGCCTGCCTTTGAGCATTGTGCTAAACTCTAAGTCTTGTGAGTGAACCATTGTCAGCCTTGGCCTCATATACTTCCCCTCTCACCACTTCTACTCTTCTGCCAGGAAAAGGAATCCGGAACCTTTTTCTTCCACCTTTATTTAGCCACGGTTTATCATGTCATCTGGAGTAATAAACCGTACTTGCTCTGAACTGTTATTATTTTTAAGTAGTCTAACATTGGATTATAGCTGATGCAAACTGGACTTTTCGAGGAAGGAGTAAGCAATTGACGGGGGCTACTCTCTTGTCACCCCCTCCAGGCAACTTTGAGAGACTGTGTCCCTTTATAATATCTACACCGAATTTAATGCACCAAATAGCTCCCCTACGCCTGTTTGCAGCTAGGTGCATTTTGGGTGAAATGTTTTACATTTTTCCCCAAAACATGGGTCCTGAGAGGCCTATGGATCGTGCCCCTACGCCCAGGTCAAATGAACCATGGTTTAGATTAACCACAGTTTGCTCATCTGAATAATGAAGCAAGATATGCTTAAGCATGCTTGTGGAAAAACCTCTCTTATCATATCTTACAGGGAGTTGGTAAGCATCCCTTGTCTCACCCAAAAATATTTGTGTTGTCTTTTACTTCCTGCAACTTATATGACAATGTACTTTACTTACAGAAAGATTTGAAGAGCAGGCCTCTCCCTCAACAGTTGGGTCTTTCAAAAAAATTGAGCACATTTTCATCCTCTTTTACAAATCTTGGACTTTTTTTTTGCTTCTTTATAACAAGTTAAATTAAATATTTTGGAAGAGAAACCACTGGAAGCCAAAACTGTAGTACCCATCCCTCTGGCAAATTCTGCACAGATTCAGAAAGTTCCCAAAACACATGCCTTTGCACGTGTTGTAAGGAGGGGAATCATGAAATGTTTCCTCATTAATTTTTAGAAGGCAGTCTGCCTGAACTAGACTGCTATTCGAGGGCTCTTGTGGCAGTAAATCTGTCCCTGACTTCTGCATGCTGCTGACAACTTGCTTCTAAAGTCTTACTGTGTCCCAGTTGAGTATTTGACTAATAGAGATCTGCGAGAGCCTTAAAAGGGAAACAATAATTGCTTGCTCTTGACAAGGCCAAATAAATTCTCCGCACTGATTGGTATTCTTTTGAGCTAGTTGTCTTTCCTACCCAAGTGTCGGCAGTGAAATAAACATGTTATAAGTGAATGTTTTGTTTGTATTTTCCTGGTCCTCTATTTTCCTGAACCTGTCCCATATGTATATATCTTTAAAAGTCCTTTAAGGGGTAATATTGTAAATCATGATCTTAAGACCAGTTCGGTTTGCCACAACTTTATATGCTGGTTTTATCTGCTTTTTCCCAATTCAAAAAATTTTCTGCCTGGATTTTTGTATCTTTATCTCCTGTTCTTTCCCATGGGGGATCTTCAGAAATTCGCAGAATATCTGCTGCTCACTGGAGTTAAATAAAGGAATATTCAAGAATGTCTTCAGACATGGTTTCCTATTCTCAACATGGCATATCATTTGATATAATCCTTGCCAAAACTCAACAGAAATAGTACCGTTTAGTGTCTGGAAAGCATATGAAAACATGTACAAATAAACCAGTAGGCCAGAGCGTTCCGTCTGCGCTCTCTTGACACTCTGTCTCTTCCAAGGGCCCTGAAGGAAGCCACACACACACAGTAATATCGCTTAGAAAAAAGGTTTCCAGTGGTACACAGTAAGCATCATTGTACCTGAATCAAGCACACTGAATCAAGCACACTTTCAAGATATCCCACAAACCAGTAGCCCTCTATCACTGCATGAGTAACTGAGCAAATTTCAACAGCAAACGAAGCAATTATGCTTTTAATGATAAATATGAAACCATTTGTTAATTTCCTGATCTTATGTGTTGACCTGTAGAGAGAGGTTAAATATATTAAAACTGTAGTTGTACAAACATCAACAAAACACAAGTAAATGAACTAACCCAAAATTGCCAACCCTTTGTTGTAAAATGACTCACTTTCTTGTCTGAAGTCCATTGCTGGACATTGACATATCAGGCTCATTCTTTTAGTATTTAGCATTTGTCTGGCTTGTATACAAGCACAATTCCTGTATTTAAACAGCATCCAAAGTAAGTGCTTTAGTTAACTACAGAACCCTACACGTCTTACAGTTGTAAAAGAAATGTCAGAATATCACTGGTACTAAGAAGATCACATAGATTGCAGTAACTGACTTCATTGTGAATAGTTTCGCAATGTCATTTGAGTAACTCATTCTAGCTGTGGATAAATTCATTAGTCTCTATGGCAGGGGTCCTCAAACTAAGGACCGGGGGCCAGATGCGGCCTTCCAAGTTCATTTACCCGACCCTTGCTCAGAGTCAACCTAAGTCTGAAACGACTTGAAAGCACACAACAACAACAATCCTATCTCATCAACCAAAAGTAGGCCCACACTTCTAATTGAAATACTACTAAGTTTATACTTGTTAAAATTGTTCTTCATTTTCATTATTGTATTGTTTTAAGTGTCTTTTCCATTACAAATAAGCTATGTGCAGTGTGCATGGGAATTCATTGATTTTTTTTTTCAAATTATAATCCGGCCCTCGACAATTTGAGGGACTGTGACCTGGCCCTCTGTTTAAAAAGTTTGAGGACCCCTGCTCTATGTATAGAGTTGGAAGAGACCACATGGGACATCAACACCAACCCCTGTCCTGCAAGGACATACAATCAATGCACGCCTGACTGATGGACAGCAATTAGAGATGTTGACAAGCTGGAATGTGTCCAGAGGAGGGCGACTAAAATGATCAAGGGTCTGGAGAACAAGCCCTATGAGGAGCAGCTTAAAGAGCTGGGCATGTTTAGCCTGAAGAAGAGAAGGCTGAGAGGAGATATGATAGCCATGTATAAATATGTGAGAGGAAGCCACAGGGAGGAGGGAGCAAGCTTTTTTTCTGCTTCCCTGGAGACTAGGACACGAAACAATGGCTTCAAACTACAAGAGAGGAGATTCCATCTGAGCATGAGGAAGAACTTCCTGACTGTGGGAGCTGTTCAGCAGTGGAACTCTCTGCCCCTGGAGTGTGGTGGAGGCTCCTTCTTTGGAAGCTTTTAAACAGAGGCTGGATGGCCATCTGTCAGGGGTGATTTGAATGCAATATTCCTGCTTCTTGGCAGGGGGTTGGACTGGATGGCCCATGAGATCTCTTCCAACTCTTTGATTCTATGATTCTACGGTGGTCGGGCATCCAGACAACATGGCCGGTCCAGCGGAGTTGATGGAGGAGGACCATTGCTTCAATGCTGGTGGTCTTTGCTTCTTCCAGCATGCTGAGATTTGTCTGCTTGTCTTCCCATGAGTTTTGCAGGATTTTCCGGAGGCAGTGCTGATAGAATTGTTCCAGGAGTTGCATGTGACGTCTGTAGACTGTCCACGTCTCGCAAGCGTATAGCAGGGTTGGGAGGACACCTTGGTATCCCTACGGATGTCCTAGTCCTCAAACACTCTTCTTCGTTGTGCAAGACGCACTCTATGGTATCAGAGGAATCCAGTGTAGAGGAGTCAAACTAGAAAGAGTCCACATCTCCAGAAGAGAATGCTCTTCAGAGCCAGAACCATCAAAAGCAGAGACAGGCACCTTTTGGATTATGAAGATCCCACTTCAGTCAAGGCAGGTAGATATGAGGCTCATGCAATTCGGATAATAAAGTAAATCACTATTTGCTCCCCTTTCATGAAGGCTTTCAGCATTCCTGTCGGAGGGGATTCTGTGATCACTCTTGCCTAATAACATCTCTACTAACTGCTTTTAAAACATACTTATTTTCTCACCGATGTGGGAAAATGTTACTCCTATATGCAATTATCATTATCATCTGCCATTCCCAAAAAAGAAACCAGAACTCGCCACAAGAGGGAGAGCAAGTGGTAATAAATGCCCAGGTATCAAACTTCATGCCTGCAAGGTTGCAAATTATGACCCTCACCCTATATGTTCAAAGCACTGTGCAAGGTTGGAGGCCTCTCTGATCTTTTCAGGAATCTTTCCAAGAGCCCCTCCAGCCCAATCTGTGAGCTTTCTGTGGGCGATGGGCTGAAGGTGCAGCTCCGAGGCTTTTAGTCAATGTGGCAAATGGGATCTCTCCCTCCTTCACTCTCTTAAATGATCTTTAGAACAACTGGGAGAAGCAGACAAAACAAATAATGTTCAGAATGTAACACAAGCAGAAATACTGGACTCAAATACATATGTTGTTAGAGCCATTCCAGACAGGCCCTTTACCCCAAGACCTGATCCCAGGTGCTCTGTTTATCCCAAATGCCTGGGTTACATGGAAAATTATTTTAATACATGTATGAAGAGTCCTGTTAAGAAAATGCATTAGATTAGAAACTTCCCTGAGTCCCTTAGGGGAGATAGGATGCGTTATAAATAAAGTTTATTTTATTTATTTAATAGACTAGCATAGCATAGGTAAAGGTAATAGTTTCCTCTTGACATCAAGTCTAGACAAGTTCAACTCTGTGTGGTGACGCTCATCTCCATTTCTAAGCCAAAGAGCTTGTCCATAGACACCTCCAAGGTCATGTGGCCGGCATGACTGCATGGAGAGGATCGCTGTTATCATCCTGCTGAAGCCAAACTGCTAGGTTGGCAGAAGCTGGGGCTAACAATGGGAGTTCACCCTGTCCTGCTGATTCGAACCACTGACCTTCCGGTCAGCAAGTTTTGCAGCTTAATGGTTTAGCCTGCTGTGCCACAGTGGCCCCCTAGCATAGAAAAGCATGTTTGTTGTTTTTTTGTTCAGTTTCTTCTGACTCTTCATGACCTCATGGACCAGCCCACGCCAGAGCTCCCTGTCGGCCCTCACCACCCCCAGCTCCTGCAGTTAAGTCAGTCACTTCAAGGATCCCATCCATCCATCTTACCCTTGGTCGGCCCCTCTTTCTTTTTCCTTCCATTTTCCCCAGCATCATTGTCTTCTCTAAGCTTTCCTGTCTTTTCATGATGTGGCCAAAGTACTTCATCTTTGCCTCTCATATCTTTCCCTCCAGTGAGCTGTCGGGCTTTACTTCCTGGAGCATAATTATTTAATATAGAGAGAATTGGCATGGGCAAGCTTCAGCCCTCCAGGTATTTTGGACTTCAAAACACTTGTTAGGAATTGTGGGAGCTGAAGTCCAAAACACCTGGAGGGCCAAAGTCTACCCATGCCTGATACAGAGAGAGAGAGAGAGAGATTGAGATTGAAACTCTTCAAGGGGTTGGTTGAGCCTTCAGTTTGCCAGGAGAAAGGAATGATGTGCGAAGGAGAAAGGTGGCCTCGCCTTAAAAGCCTGTCACCAACAAGAGAGGTTTGGAAGGTTCTGGTCTACTGCCTCAGAGTGGAGTCTTTGGCCCAGGCTGCCACTGGTGACTCTCCCTCTCTCCCTCCCTTCCTCTCTCTCCCCCTCCTTCTCCCCCTTTCTCCCTCCCTCTGCCCCTCTCCCTCTCTCCCTAACCCTCTCTCTGCCTCAGAGTGGAGCCTTTGGCCCCAGCTGCCACTGGCGACTCTCTTTCTCCCTCCCTCTCCCTCTTTATTTCTCCCCCCTCTCCTTTTCTTTCTCCCTCCCTCTCCCCCTCCTTCTCTCTCCTTCTCTCCCCTTCCTTCCTCCCTCTCTCCTCCTCCCTCCCTCTCTCTCCTCCTCTCTTTTTCTCTATCCCTCTCTCTCTCCTTCTCTTTCCCTTTCTATCTCCCACCCTCTCCCCCTTTCTTTCTCCCTCCCTTTTCTCTCCCTCTCCCTTCCTCTCTCCTTCTCTCTCCCTTTCTATCTCCCTTCCTCTCCCCTTCTTTCTCCCCCTCTCTCCCTCTCTCCTCCCTCTCCCTTTCTCTCTCTCCCACTCCCTTTTCTCTCCCTCTCTCCTTCTCCCTCCCTCTCCTTCTCTCTCCCTCCTCCTCTCTCCCTTTTTCTCTCCCTCTCTCCTTCTCTCTCCCTCCCTCTCCTTCTCTGTCCCTCTCTCTCCCTCCTTCCTCTCTTTCTCTCTCCCTTTCTCTCTGTCTCCATTTTCTCTCCCTCTCTCCTTCTCTCTCCCTTTCTTTCTCCCTCCCTCTCCCTTTTTCTCTCCCTCCCCCTCCCTCCCCCTCCCTCTCTCCCTTTCTTTCTCCCTCCCTCCCTCTCCTCCTCCTCTCTCTTTCTATCTCCCTCTCTCTCCCGTCCCTCTCTCTCTCTCTCCTGGAGGGAAGACCCAAAGCCCTGCCGCCCTCCTGGACCTGCCTCTTCCCTCCTCCTCCTCCTCCTCCTCGGGGCGTGCCCCACGAATAAGAAGAAGAAGCAGAGGGCGGCTTGGGCTCTCTCTCTCTGTGTATCTGCCTCAGGGACGAGGTGTGGGCTGGAGCCATGCCCTCCTACTCGGTGACGGTGGCGACGGGCAGCCAGTGGTTCGCGGGCACGGACGACTACATCTACCTGAGCCTGGTGGGCTCTGCCCGGACCAGCGAGCGGCACCTGCTCGACAAGCCCTTCTACAACGACTTCGAGCGCAGCGCCGTGAGTGGCCATGCCTGCCTGCCTGCCTCCTTTTCCCGCGCTTTCCTCCGCACCTGCCACTCTTTCTCCACAGACCCTCCAATTGCCACACTTTGCATCCCAGCGCTTTGATTCTCATAGGGAGGCTGAGGGGAAACCGAGAATAAGCCATTCACTGTGGATTTGGGGCGCTTCTTATAGTTTCCAGGGGCCTCAGGACATAAACATACCTTGGGACAGACACCTTTCGAACGTTAACATCAGAATGAACTGGCCACCAGCTGGGCATCATTGGAGAGGGGGAAAATATTGTCGAAGGCTTTCATTGGGTTGTTGTGAGTTTTCAGGCTGTATGGCTATGTTCCAGAAGCATTCTCTCCTGACGTTTCGCCCACATCTATGGCAGGCATCCTCAGAGGGTGTGAGGTTAGTTGGAAACTAGGCAAGTGAGGTTTATATATCTCTGGAATGTCCAGAATGGGAGAAAGAACTGTTTGAGGTAGGTGTGAATGTTGCAATTGGTCACCTTGAATAGCATTGAATGGCCTTGCAGGTTCAAGGTCTGGACATTCCACAGCTCAGTGGTTTAACCCACTGCGCCACCGGGAGCTCCACAGATATATAAACCCCTTTTTCCTAGTTTCCAACAGACCTCACAAGCTCTGAGGATGCCTGCCATAGATGTGGGTGAAACATCAGGAGAGAATGCTTCTGGAACATGAAGCCTGGAAAACTCACAACCCAGGGGAAATTTATTTATTTACTGCATTTTTACCCCGCTCCATCTCACCCCGAAGGGGACTCTGAGTGGCTTCCAGTTTGGTAATAATTCAGTTACTTATTTAATGTGTAAGAAGTGAATTGATAATAGAGTAATAATGTATAGAAAAACCACAAAGTTTAAAACTTGGCATTATACTAAATTTCCTTTGACCAGAAGCTGGCCACTTGGAGTGCCTCTGCTGTGGCTGTAAGAAGGTCCTCCATTGTACATGCGGCACGGCTCAGGTTACATTGTAGTAGGTGGTCTGAGGGTTGCTCTTCTCCACACTCGCATTTCATGGACTCCCCTTTGTAGCTCCATTTCTTAAGGTTAGCTCTGCATCTCGTGATCCCAGAGCACAGCCTGTTCAGCCAGTCTTCTGTATGCCCACAAGGGAGTTTCTCATCTGTATTGGGATTCAAGGTTTTCGCCTGCCACTTTTGGACTCTCACTTGCTCAGGTGTTCCTGCGAGTGTCCCTGTAGATCAGTGGTTCTCAACCTTTCTAATGATGCGACTCCTTAATACAGTTCCTCCTGTTGTGGTGACCCCCAACCATAAAATTATTTTCGTTGCTACTTCATAATTGTAATTTAGCTACAGTTATGAATTGTAATGTAAATGTCAGATATGCAGGATGTATCTTCATTCACTGGACCAAATTTGGCAGAAATACCCGATACGCCCAAATTTGATTACTGGTGGGGTTGGAGTTGTAGTTGCTGGGATTTATAGTTCACCTACAATCAAAGAGCATTCTGAACTTCACCAACAATGGAATTGAACCAAACTTGGCACATAGAACTCCCATGACCAACAGAAAATCCTGGAAGGGTCTGCTGGACATTGACCCTGAGTTTTGGAGTTGTAGTTCACCTACCTCCAGAGAGCACTGTGGACTCAAACAATGATGGAGCGGAACCAAACTTGGCACAAATACTCAATAAGCCCAAATGTGAACACTGGTAGAATTTGGGGAAAATAGACCTTGACATTTGTGAGTTATAGTTGCTGGGATTTATAGTTCACCTACAATCAAAGAGAATTCTGAACGCCACCCAGGGGCGGCTCAACCCATTACGCAAAGTAAGCATTCGCAGTATAGTTCATTTTGCCCAGGGGCGCTCTTGAGGCACTCTTTGGAGAAAATAGACCTTGACATATAGTTCACCTAAAATCAAAGAGCATTCTGAACTCACCAATGATGGAATTGAACCAAATATGGCACACAGAACTCCCACAACGAACAGAATATATATATCAGTGATTGTTTGGGGGGGGGGGCGCCAAAATACTGTTTGCTTACCATTGAAAATTACCTAGGGCCGCCTCTGACGCCACCAGTGATACAATTGGGCCAAATTTCCCACACAGAACTCCCATGACCAACGGAAAATACTGTGTTTTATGATGGTCTTTGGTGACCCTTCTGACACACCCTTGTGACCCCCCTCCCCAGGGGTCCTGATTCTCAGGTTGAGAAAGGCTGCTATAGATCTTAGGAAGCTGTTTCTTGATTTAAGGTATTGGCTTGCTGGCTGATATCTGAACAGAGGATTGGCCGGAGATCTCAGTGCCTTGGTCCTTTCATTATTGGCTGCTACTTCCTAATGGATGTCAAGTGGTGCAATACTAACTAAACAGTATAATTTCTCCAGCGGTGTAGGACATAGGCATGCTGTGATAATGTAACATGTCTCATTAAGAACCACATCCACTGTTTCAACATGGTGAGATGTGTTCCACACATGATAAGGAGGTTTGGTCCAGTTTGGAGAGCCACATAAAATGACATCGTTTGGCTTTGGCCCACAGGCCTTATGTTTGGCACATGTACCCTAGGAGAAACCAGGTTGCATCGTTGCCAAGGATGCACCCCCTCAGAAACACACTCTCCCTTAGAAACATATTCTACCTATCTCATCCAGGATTTTATCAATTTCTATCAATTTTATTCCCAGTACATTTGGCACGTCCACAGTGTCCTTTTTTTTTCATGTCATTTTGGAACTGTTTATTTTATTTTGTTATGACATGTATTTATTTTGATGGTATTTTGATTCTCTGCATTTTATTTTGCTATATTTGTTATTTGTTGTAATTTTGGCCTTGGCCTCATGTTAGCCGCCCCGATTCCCCTTTGAGGAGATGGTGGCGGGATATAAATAAAGATTATTATTATTATTATTATTATTATTATTATTATTATTCTGCTTCTGTAATAATCTGGTTCCCCTTTGGCTGGCATAGCTGGGAAAACTTTGTTCAGTCTCCACTGAAGCTCTACTCATAAGGAGAATGCAGGTAAATAAGAAACAGGCACTGTTACCTTTTCTCAACTTGGATAGGAATAAGCATACAGTGGTTGGCACTGGGCATTTATTTATTTCAAATATTTGTACCCTGCTCTTCTCTACACCCGCAGGGGGACTCAGGGCGGCTTACAGCCGGCAACAATTTGATGCCCCACATATACAACAGATAAACAACAATTACATAATAAGTAAAACATTAAAATTAGATTAAAAACCATTTAAAATAGTACAAATTGAATTAGTTGGCATGTCAAGTCCGCGATCAACAACTTAATCCGAAGCATGTCCATAGTCCGTTTTCCATAGCATTGTCGTCATTTCTATTGTCAGCCTGCTATCCGAATGCCTGGTCCCTTAGCCATGTCTTCAACTTTTTCTTGAAGGAAAGAGGGAAGCCGTTGATCTAATTTCGTGGGGGAGCGAGTTCCACAGGTGGGGGGGACAACGCCGAGAAGGCCCTGTCCCTCGTCCCCCACCAAGCGCATTTGCGACGAAGGTGGGATCGAGAGCAGGGCCTCCCTGGAAGATCATAAGCTTCGAGCTGGGACGTAGGGGGAGATACATTTGGTCAAGTAAGCTGGGCCAGAACCACCTTACTCCTGTATTGCCTCTGGGAAGCTCATTTCTTGGCTTGCTCGTGGTATCTGGGCATTTAGTGGGTCTGGTTCTCTACAACAGAGCTGTCCCACAGTGAATGAAAACCTTGCTTCATTTCTTGGTTGTTCTCTGATTCCTGTATGGCAGCGGATTGGACTGGATGGCCCTTGTGGTTTCTTCCGGCTCTATCTGATTCTATGATTCTATCCTCTGGACAGTAAAAAGGAGGTATCCGTTTGCTGAGGCACTCAGATGAACAAATGAAAGGATGTGGAGGCTGCTTTGCGTCTTCCCTCTTGGTACACTTGCACACTCTCTCCCTCGATTGTGAGCAGAAAAAAGCAGAATCAATCCCTTTCTTCATGAAGCCTAAAGAAGGAATGCTTTCTCATGTATGTATTTGCAAAGATATACCGAAGTTCCAAAAAATAGACACGATTTGAATGGCTATATCTCTGCAACCATGAACCGCCTGTGAATGAAAGTCTTCCTCTTGAAAGGGAAGAAGGAGCATAGACTTTCAAAGGAGTGCTGTTAGACGCCTCTCCCAGTACACAAACAGCCCTTGGACTCACTCATATGAAAGAAACATAAGTCCTAATGAGATATTCCGTATTTGTTGGATTGTTTTTTCAATGTGCTTCTGGCCCAAAATGGTTACCAAAACTTGATAACCCATTACACTGTTTGTAACATTTTTTATAATGTAACATGTTGTCATACAGTTTTGAAATTGGATCCATCATTTTGAAACACGCTGCATATTAGATGTAGGAGACAATAATCTACACAACCACATAACATAATGTGCTAAATCATGCGCTGAATCCAGCCCACAATGTTATTTTACGTGGCTCTCCAGATGCTGGACGACAACTCCTGTATTCCTTATCATTAGACCTCATAACTAGAGCTGTGAAGCCCCTGGTGGTACAACGGGTTAAACCCCTGGGCCAGTAAGACTAAAGACCGACAGGTTGGAGCTTTGAATCCAGGGAGAGTGTGGATGAGCTCCCTCTGCAGCTCCAGCTCCCTATGAGAGGACATGAGAGAAGCCTTTCACAAGGATGGTAAAACATCAAAACATCTGGGTGTCCCCTTGGCAATGCCCTTGCAGACAGCTAATTATCTCACACCAGAAGCAACTTGCAGTTTCTCAATTCATCCCTGACATGAGAAAAAAATGACTAGGGCTGATGGGAGTTGTGATAGAGTAACATCCGGGAGGCTATAGCTTGTTGCATTTAATTAGGATAGTGGCATTTCGATTTAGGCTTTTGGATCTGATGTCTGACTTTAAAATGTCCATTATTATTTCCTCAACCTCAGATCCACAAATACTGTTGG